AACTTCCTCAACCTGATAAAAGATATCTATTAAAAAAAATCTAGAATAATCATCATATTTGATGGTGAAAGACTGAAAACTATCCATGTAAAATTGAAAATAAGACAAGAGTGTTCGTTCACACTCTTCTCTTTATTCGACATAATGCTAAGGCAATCAGATAAGAAAAAGAAATAAAAGGCATCCAGATTGGAAAGATAGATGTAAATCAGTCCGTATTCTAAAATGGCATAATCTTGTACATAGGAAATTCTAAGGAATCCACCAAAACACTATTAAAACTAATTAATGATTCAGCAAGCTTATAAGATACAAGATATATGCAAAATTAATTGTATTTCTATACACTAGCAATAATAATTAAAAATGAAGTTAGGAAGGGAATGTAAATTGGTGCAGCCACTATAGAAAACAGTATGGAGGTCCTCAAAAAATCAAAAATAAAACTATCATATGATTTAGCCATCCTACTTCTGGGTATTTATCCAAAGAAAACATGAATATTCACTCAAAAAGATATCTGCACCCCCATGTTCATTTTAGCATTATTTATAACAGCCAAGACATGGAAACAACTTGAATATCCATCAATGGATGAATGGATTAGAAAAAAATGTGATACACACACACACACCCCAAAACCTTATTCATCCATAAAAAAGAAAAATATCCTGCCATTTGTGACAATGTGAATGGGTCTTGAGGGTTTTATACTAAGTGAATACCGAAAGACAAATACTGTATGATCGCATTTATATATGAAATCTAAAATTTAAAAAAATAAAAATACAACCTGAACTTATAGATACAGAGAGCAGATTGGTTGTTGCCAGAGGTAACAGGAAGGGGAAGGGAAGAAATGAGTGAAGGCGGTCAAAAGGTATAAACATCCAAATATAAAATAAACAACTCCTGGAGATGTAAGGTATAGCATGGTGATTATAGTTGATACTGTATTATACATTTAAAAGTGGTTAAGAAAATAAATCTTAAAGTGCTCATTTCAAGAAAAAAACCTGTAACTATGTGGTGATGGATGTTAACTAGACTTATTGTGATCATTTTGCAAAATTTACATATACGGATTCATTTTGTATACCTGAAACTAATATAAAATTATATGTCTTTTATATCTCAATTAAAAGAAAGAAAGGAAGGAAGGAAGGAAGGAAGAAAAGAAAGAAAGGAAGAAAGAAAGAAAGGTCATTGGATTGTTTTCTTAGGTTCTTGAGAAAAAGAAAAGAAGGAAGGAAGGAAGGAAGGAAGAAAAAGAAAAGAAGGAAGGAAGGAAGGAAGGAAAGATTCTGATGCTCAAGATGCCACCCTGAGGTTCTGTTTCAACTGGTCTGGGATGCCCCCCATACCACCATCAAAATAGTTTGTAAAAGCTCCTCAGGTGATTCACGTGTGTAGCCAGAGCTAAAAGCCACTGGTGTCAGAACCATTTTCTGTACTTCTAGGCTAAATCAAATTCTAAAACCTCATGAATTAACACACTTTCAAGTAATTATTTCTCAAACAGTTCAGGATTCCAGGCATATAAAATGCTCACTTAGAATGCTAGAATAAAAAGAGAAAAAAAAATGAAATTAAGAAAACTCATTTATAATAGCATCAAAAAAATAAAATACTTAGAAATAAATTTAACAAAAGAATGCAAAACTTATACTATGGAAACTATGAAGCATTGTTGAAAAAATTGAAGATCTAAATAAATAGAAAAGACATTGTGTGTTCATGATTAGAAGGCTATGTATACTATTGACATGACCATATTCCACACACTGCTCTACAGATTCAACAATATCCCTATCAAAATCCCAATTGGCTATTTTGAGGAAATGACAAATTGATCCTAAAATTTATATGGAAATATAAAGAACCCAGAACAGTTAAAACAATGTTGAAAAAAGCAAAGCTGTAAGACTCATATTTTCCTGTTTTAAGAGTTACTACAAAACTACAATAATGAAAACTGTGATTTTTGCATAAGGATAGATATATACAGTTCAATGGAATAGAATCAGGAGCTCAATTTTGGTCGATTGATTTTTGACAAGGGTGCGAGACAATTACATGGGGCAAGAATAGGCTTTTCAACAAACGATGCTGGGACAACTAAATATCCATATATGAAGAAATAAATTTGGATCACTTACTTAATATTACACACAAAAATTAACTCAGTTTGGATCATAGACCTAAACATAAGAGTTTAGACTATAAAACTGTTAGAAAAAAATAGTTGTAAATCTTCATGACCTTGGGTTAGGCAAAGCCTTCTTGGACATGACACTGAAAGCATAATCAACAACAACAAAATAGATACATTTGACTTCATCAAAATCAAAAACTTTTGTGCTGCAAATACCACCAAGAAACAAAACAAAAACAAAAACAAAAACAACAACGATGCACAGAATAGGAGAAAATATTTGCAATCATCTAATAAGGGATTTTTCCCCCCAGAATATATAAAGAACTCGTATAACTCAATAAAAAGAGACAGATCACCCAATTTCAAAATGGCCAAAGGATTTAAATAGACATTTCTCCAAAGGAAATACACAAATGGACAATAAAAACATGAAAAGATGATCAACATCATTAGTCAATAGGTAAATGTGAATCAAAACCATAATGAGCTACTACTGTCACAACCACTAAGATGATTGTAACAAAGAATACAGTCAATAATAAGTGCTAGCAAGGATGTAAAGAAATTGGAACCCTCACACAAGGCTAGTCCAAATGTAAAATGGTATCACCATTTTGGAAAAGAGTTTGGCATTCCCTTAAGATGTTAAACATAGAGTCATTATATGACTCAGCAATTCTTCTCTTAGGTATATACCCAATAGAATTAAAAACATATCTCACACAAAAACTTATACATGAATGTTCATAGCATCATTAATGTGAAACCTATACAATAAAACATTATTCAGCACATATGGGAATGCAGAACTGATAGGCTATGACATGGATGAACTTTGAAAACATTAAGCTCAATATAAGGAGCCAGATATAAAAAGCCATATGTATGATTTCATTTATATGAAATGTCCAGAATAGGAAAATCCCTAGAGACAGAAAATACACTAGTGGTTGCCAGAGGCTAAGAATGGGGAGTTACTGCTAATGCATGTGCAGTTTCTTTTTGGAGGAATAAAATTGTTCTGGTATTAGACAGTTGTCATGATTGCATAACTTTGTGAATGTACTAAAAACTACTGAATTGTACACTTTCAATGAATGAATTACATGGTATGTGAATTATATCTCAATAACGCTGTTAAAAAATTAAGGCCATGCTTTCTGATAATCACAACTAAAAGCTTTCATCATTCAGAAAAGGAAAACTTATTTATATGATGGGATTGATGTAAATTATCAATATTTATAGATTCTTCTTGATGACGAAGTAAGCAATAAACCTCTTCTGAGAAAATGGTTCCCTTCAAGCATGCTGAGGCCAATGATAAAGGATTTTTCAAACTGCTAAGGAATAAGAACCCAAAATAAAAAGGTTTTCATGCCTTACCTTTCTAAAGTCTCACTTCCCATATAGCATAAATCTCCTTTTCTATAGCATTATATAATCTTTCAAATTCGTCACAAGTATACCAAATTTTCCATTAATGCGATTAAATTTTCATAATCTCACTTTACAAATAGTTTATATTCCATAGCTAACTGATTCATATTTAACATGCTGATGCAGGTCCCCAATTGCCAAAAATCCGGATACCAAGTATTTCAATGGGATTTTTATTAAGAGCATATAATCCAAGTTTGTAGCAGTTGAAGAACATCATACTAGGCTGTGTTATAAATAACTCTGATGAGTCGATCTCTCAGCCCTATTTTATCATAGTAAAAAGAAGTTATTTCTATGATTAATCTAACCCTTTTAGCATGGGTTGGTACCATGACTGATGAAGGGACTGGATTTGTGCTACCTCTAATTGCAGTATGTGACAGAGAGCCAGGACCAGTGGAACGTCAGGGCCTATGCTACAAGGACAGATTCTTTAAATCCATGGTTAGCCAGTGTTAACAGAAAAAAAAAAAAATGCTGATTGATGGATTGGATAAATATTCATCGTGCACCTGATCCATGCAATGGCGATAAACTAGGGCGTAGATATGGGGGCCACAAAAGAAGAAAAGTCAGCCTTCCATCGTATCTTCTAGTTGAGTTTCCTCCTTTATTACATTCATTATTATATGTTCTATAAAATAGGCTGTGCTAAGCAGGTAACTGAATTCTTGTTCCGTATAATTGAGATGATTGATGCAATTGGAAGGGAAAATTTATCAGAGAACAAAGTCTAGATCGTGACGAAGCCCAGTGACCTGAGATACCGAAGCTGGATTCAGGATTTCCACGCGGACAGCTCCAGGTACCGTATAATTGAGATGATTGATGCAATTGGGAGGGAAAATTTATCAGAGAACAAAGTCTAGATCGTGACGAAGCCCAGTGACCTGAGATACCGAAGCTGGATTCAGGATTTCCACGCGGACGGCTCCAGGGGAGCGTGCAGGAGACAGACTGTCAGCGAGAGGGCGGGGCGCTCTACACGTAAGGAACCTCAAGTCCCAGAATGCCCCAGGGACTCCAAATCCCAGAAACCTGCACTACAAAACTACCCGAATCCCAAGTCGCAGACCGCGGACGCGACCAAGTTAAGAAACTGGGTGAGATGCCGCAGCACTTGTCCCCTACCATTTTCCCTATAGGGAGAGGGCTATTTTACAGAACTATAGTTACACGAACCTTCGCATTCTCTCAATCACAGCTTCCATGACAAGCCCCCTGCAAGCGTATTTGTTGTGATGATGAGCGTCTTCCATTCACTCTCCCCCTTTTTCTTGCCCTCTGTAGGAATGGTGCAGCCGGGCATTAGGGCTCGAGTTGGATCAGTGGTTGTGTGCCCCCTCCCCCGGAATGTGGGCCTTTGGAGCCAACGAGGTGGGAGGAACCCAGGCAGGGAGGCGTGCTGGGCCCAGGCGGCCGTAGAGGCGGCGGCGGCTGCGGGTGGTGGGAGGAGTCGTGCAGTTCCGGCTGCCGGGGCGAGGCGACCCTTAGGTCCGCGCTGCGAGCGGGGAGAACAGGTAGGGGAGCGGACATCCGCGGCTCCGGGAGAGGCTCGGGCAGCCGAGTCCCGCACCGCGCCCGGCGCGTCCCCGGCACCCGCGGCCTCTGGCGTTGAGGCGGGGGAGTAAGGAGATGCCGACCCAGAGGGACAGCACTACCATGTCTCACCCGATCGCAGGCGGCGGCAGCGGGGACCATTCGCACCAGGTCCGGGTGAAAGCTTACTACCGCGGGTGAGTGTCCTGGAATAGAGGGGTAGGAGGAGAGGGAAGGGAAAAGACCAGCTCGTTTTGGGCTGGAGGAGGAGAGAGTGAGAGGCTAGAGATGTTGTGGTAAGTTGGTCTGGGAGGGAGACCCTGAGGACTCGGGATGGAGACCGAGGGGTCGGGGGAGGAGCATGGAGCGCTCCCAGGGTGTGCAGAACTCCTGGGGATAGCGCGGCTGAGGGTCCAGAGTAGGGTCCGGGAGAGGAGCTTTAGAATAGAGTAGATCCACCTGGTGGGTTCGAGATACTCTCCTACTAAGAAATTTACAAGGGTTTACGTCATTAAGTCTAGATATATTTGGAGTTCAGAGTTGATTTCAAGTGATGCCTCAGTTAACTAAGTTTGCTATGGGTTTAAAAGACAGGACTGCTTCAGTTTGCTGGCCTTTTTGATTTCCAGCAGGCCTAAAGCCTCTGGTTCTCCAAGTCAGGTTTATTTTCATCGCCTACGAGTTAACGAAGTGCATCTCAACATGGTCAGGCTGCCAGTAAATTAGACAGTTATTATTTAAGAGTAAAGTTGGTGCGTTTTCAGGATGTGCATTAGATACTTAGTCTCGCCAAGATTAGGTTGTGCATGTGCAAATTAAAATATTGCGAACGCTTCTTTCTCATTGTTGCTTCAAGGATTGTCCGATAGGGTGAGGTATTGCAAGGTGAGAAGAGGACGAGCCTAGGCACAGCTTGAAAATCTGTGATCCTTACTCGTATTATTACCTAAGTTATAACTCCTTTGATTACCGGAAATAATCCAGTTCTGAGATCGTTGTATTAAATCATATTCTGTAATCAGTGATGTGAAGTGTCCACCTTCCCTTGAATTAAGTTGTGGTTTGAAATTTCTTTGAGATAATTATGTTAGGCACATTAGAAAGCTGAAATGTTATTATGAGCATAAAGGTTTGAAACTAAGGGTTAACAGAAAACCCAGCCGTTTTGGCTTGTCCTACGCTTGTCCAAGCAGAAGTAAATTGCTGTTAAAAAAAAAAAACCTCAAGCACTAGGAGGTTGAAACTGCAATGCATACTTTAACATTCCTGAGAGGATCAGTGAAGATAGCAAACTTTAAAAATGCCTTTCGTTTTGATTTCAAAGAAAATATAAGCCCCTTAATGTCTTATTGATCTGATGTAAGGACATGCTAGTTCAGTTTGTGTGCTGCCATGAAGCCCCTGACCTCTGTGTATTATTAGCATGACTGTATTCAGGAGTAGTTTACAGGAGTTATTTTGGACAGTATCAGTGTTTTTGCTTAAATTTATCAAGGAGGTCTTAGTTTTAAAACAGTATCAAGAAGTGTGTGTAGGTTTCCTGAAAGTTTTTAGTTGTCACAGAGCTGTTTTGACTTGAGAATGGTCAGCTATGAACGTTGCACTGTGGGACAAAAGCTTTGCTCCCTTTACCTTACTTTTAATTTGATAGATGAGATATTTCACTTTAGAATGTGTTCCATTTTATAATGTCAACAGTCCATGAGTTGACAGAGATTGAAAAACAATACGTATTTTTTTTAAGGTGTCCATTATTGACAGTTTAAAAACTAGATTAAAAAAATGCATATACACTCATGGTAAGAAAGTACAAATTGTATAGAGTTATAAAATAAAAAGTTTCCCCAGCTCATCCTCCCAACCTCCAGAGGTAACTACTGTTTACAGTTTATTTTTGGTTCTCCTGGAAGTTGCCTTTTTTGCTTTAAAAGTTATACTTCTGTTTTGTGATTTATCAGCTTTAGATAGTATCTATTGATCCTCTGTAAGATGAGAAATTGGGTGCACACTACCTTTTTTTCTTTTCCTGGTGCCTCTCGATTTTTGATAAACTTATTTTTGGTTCAACAGTTTACTTTTGTAACTTTAGATAATATACATTCTATTTTTAATTGTGAGGCACTCATCATAAATTCTTGACTTATTAAATTTAGATAGTTTCCAATGATTCCAACTATGAAAGACGAAGAATCTAGCGCTTCTTTCTTTTTTCCCCATTTTTATTAGTTTGACAAATGTAAATAGGCCTAATTGGTAAATTTAAATCATTGTGAGTTTCTCCTTTGCAAAGAGATCAAAGTTGCTATATTTTAGAAATGCTTTATCATATATCTTAGTTTATTGCTCCAATTATTGAAAAAAAGAGACAAAATAAGGATATATAACCTGTTTAGTGCTTGACTAAAAGTTCTCCCAAGACATTCAAGTTAACATTTTCTAGCACCTATGAATTTTTGCTAAGGAATGAAACAACCCTTTGCTCTTTAGTGCTTTTAATTTAATATAAGCTTTCTAATAGTGCTTTCATTACAAGACTCATTTAAAGACAACATCGGTATTCTAAATTGTACCAGTTTCTGTCTTCTGAAATGAGATCTGTTAAGATTATATGTTTATTAACAATAGTCTAAGCTGATGGTTATGATATTACAGTCAGCTGCTCATTACTACAGATGAAGCTAAAATGAGTCACCAGTGAGGATAGTTAATAAACAGGTCGGCTAACTAGAACACCTACCTGATTTTAAAATAGAAAATCCTTCCTCTATCAAGAAATATAAGGACAATCTGCACTGGGAAAAGTTTTTTTTTTTTCCTTCAGATCTTCTGAATGGCCATTATCAGAGAGTTTTCCCCTATTCCCTTTTAACAATATTTCTTTCCAGTGAATGTTGAACCTTAGAATAGCAGCATCTTTTAGTGAATAAATTGCCCTTTCCTTTCAAAGATGTGTATAGTGTTATAATTATGTTAAATTTGCTTTTAGTGTAAATGTGATGTCTTTCTAGATATAGCAGACATTTAATTAGATTTTTTTTTCTAGTTTTGAAGCAGGAGATTAATAGCATTGAGAATTTGGTTTTATTGAAGACCCCCTAAGAGTACCTGTCTCACAGCCTGTACTCCTCTTTGCTCACCACGGTAGCTTGTCAGTGAGTGGCCTTCCTTCTTAAATCATTACCTAGTGGTGTTAGTTTGGAGGAAGAGAAACAGGTTTTGTTGATTAGTTTGGAGGAAGAGAAACAGGTTTTGTTGATTAGTGATAGATTGCCATTGTATGTGATTATCCTTTTTTAAAATTATTTGATATTTTGGAATAAAATTTAACAAGAAAATGTCTTGACTACTCTTTTCTTTACATTATAAGTGTATGGGAAACTGCAAAAAGCTTGTAAAAAATGCTTTTTAAACCACTGCTGTTAAGCAGTTATGATAATGCAGAGGATTCTTTGTTTGCACATCTACAAATAAAACAATCGTTAACTTGTACATTTGGAATGTATAGCTGGTTCAGTGAAGAAATGGGCAGGATTTTTTTTTCACTCTTAACAAGTCTTGACAAGACTTGTTTTTAAAAGTATTGCAAAATAATTTTAGTGATATTCTTTAGTAATGGTTCTAAGTAAATAAAAATAATATATTGAATTGAGGTTGGGGAAATGTTAGTTATTGGTCCTGGAGCTTCTGGCATGGCACCTAACTATAGGGTAACTGATCCATAGTTTCACCAGAGAGAAAGGACATGGTGGCCTGGTGCCAACAATCAAAACCAAAACAACTCTCAGAAATTTGAATTAGATATCATGGAGATAAGTTGCTTGTTAGCAGCGAGGACTAAAGCTGAGAGTTGAGGGAGAGGCTAGTGAGGCTGGGACCAACCATGTGCAAATTGAAGGTCTGAGGAAGCAGAGGAGACAGAAGCAGTGCTCTACAGAAAAATTCTCCCTAGAGGTCCATAATAGCTTTCTAATACAACTCTCAGCCTTCTTTTTAAGATAACTTGAATGTTTGTTTTTTTTTTTATGGTTGAAATGAGCCTAATTAAAACGTGAATTTTTAAAACTCCAATCTTGCTTAGGATTTCACATTTTACTTAAGTGTGTTTAAATCCAGTTTAATAAATGTTGTTGAACACCTACTGTAAACCAGGCACCCAGTACTAGGTGGGCACAGAGGATGTAGAGGTGGATAATACAAGGCTCTGCCCTCATGGAACTAAGAGACCTGTAGGAGGAAAGACATAGAAGAGTTAATAGGTGTGCGTGCGTGCATGTGCTTGTGTGTGTGTGTGTGTAAGGTACTTGCAGGATGGATATTGAGGAGGAGTTTGAGGTGAGGGAAGCCTTCCTAGAGGATAAAATATTGGAGGCTTTTAAAAGATAAATAGGTTTGCCCTGTGGATGGTGATGTTGGGTGGGGCACTGTCATTCCAGGCATTGCACAACTGCATGATATGTTTGAGGAATTAAGATCATTTTAGTTGGTAGTCCCATATGCATGCCTTATTAGGACACAAAGTGTGAAGTGGAAACTGATGAGAAGGCTCATGATGAATGTTCGCAGGCACTAATTCGTGAAGCCTCTTGAATATCCTATACTTTGTGCTTCAGACTTTTTCTCAATGCTGAAGGTTTTAAGAAAGAGAGATGCATAATTAGATTTTCATTGTAGGATGAACACTCTTGGAACCAGTATGGGAGATAAATTGGCAATGGATAAGACTAATTTGGAAGCTTTGGAAGTAGTCCAGGTGAGAGTTTCTGAGGGGATGGAAAAGAGGATATGGATTCAGTGGCGATTTTAGGTGGTAAAATCAATATGGATTAGAGACTGATTGCTTATAGGAAAGGGGGTGGGTTCTGACAACTCGTAGTTTCTTATTTGAGAGAGGTTAGGGACTGTAGAAGGAAGGTATTTGTGGAATGGGCAATTCTGAATTTTGAGCTCAAGGTGCTTTGGGAGCATCCAGGTGGAAATGTCCAGAATTAATTGAACAGTCATTGTGTCCTGGCTCTATGTCCCAAGCACTGTGCATGACAGCTAACCTGTACAGGCATGTGAATGATAGAAACCAAAACGCCACTAGTGGCCTAATATAGATCACAAAAGCAAGGCACTAAAACATTTTAAATACAGAAATATATAAAGTGGAAGGTTCCCCCTGTCGCCTCCACTTCCTAGGGGGTAGCCACTGTTA